AAAATTGAGTTTTAGAATTCCGGTAAAAATTGGGAACTTAAGGAGTCAATAGACATACTGGTAAATACAGTCAACTTAGGGAGTCAACTCACTTGCTAAAGATGGAACAAAGAAATAACAACCTAGGAAAGAGAGAAGAACTGAGACAAGAATGCTAAATCAAGTCATTATACTTTAGTACACACACATAACAGTAATTAATATCACAAGTAAATGAACAATGGTTCATTACAAATGGATGCTCTAATACACTTCAGAAGTCTGTATGCATGGGATGGGGGAGATATGAGCAGGACTACAGGGACAGGAATGGTTTTCTTGCAGAACCCTGAAGGTTTTTGCAAGAGCGTAGAGTTAGAAGATCATCTAGGGATGGGCTGATAAAAAGTAAAAAAAGAGACTGAAACGGATTCTTGAATTGTAGCGGTTAATTGAGAAGATAAAGAAAAAAAACAGCAACTTTTAAGGCATTTGACATTTTTACTGACCTAAACAAACCAAAAGAAAATAAAACAACTTACTTGTCAATCCAATGTTTAAATGACAAGTAGATTGAATATAATTGTGTCTCTATAAGTTGATAAATGGTCATATTACATGCTTCACTCAGTCCCAAAATGTATGCAGAATTTGAAATAATGAAGAGAACTCACCTCTCTCTGACTAAAGGTGCTGTTTTAGGTGGTCTACTAACACCACTGGCTGTGGCACCAGCTGACTCATCAAGAGATTCCGACTTCCTGTGATCAGCCAAAATGCTTGAATTATTCAAACTTGTTTGATCAGGCAAGGACTCTGAGCGCATATGTCTGCTTTCGTCCCCACTTGGAACCATCCAAGGTGGAGGAGGAGGAGGTCGCGTCTTTTTGAAAACTTGAAGCTTCTTGAACACTTTCTCTTTGTCTCTTTTCTGGAATTGTAAGTGCATGTGACAATTCTTTTATTTTTAAACAAAACCACAATCACTGTGTATGGAAAATATACTGAAAAATTATTTTTTGCAATTTCATGGCATTCATGAAAACAAAATTTTGTGTAAGTCGCTGACACTCTGCGTTGCTGGACCCTAGGGCCATTTTTCCTGCTGCAATTTTCACCGAATCAGGACATTAGCAAAAATTTGTCTTTCGTGAAATCGACGTGGTTTACAGTTGACTTAATACACAAGTGTATGTTGTTTGAGTAAAGGCAGACTGAGACCAAGTTCATCAAACAGTACAGGGGGTTTTGGAAACAACAACCCCATTAATTGAAATAAGCATACCGGTACATTAATATCCACATTCCACAAGTAAATGACTCACCTTGTCAGACCTGGCATACGGTGACTGGTTACCTGAAATCTGAATGGCAGATTTATTGGGAGGTGTGATAGTAGCTGCGGCAGCCGAGTTCAGTGGTTGGTAGCTTCCGACGTCCGGAGAAGAGTTTGAGGTAGTTGACGCGGGAACGGGAGGTGCATTAGCTCTTGGTACAGGAGCTGGATTATTTCTCGAGACAGAAGTAGGATTAGTTCTTGGTACCGACGCCGATTGTGTTCTTGTTGATGACGTTGACATACTACTAATCGGTGGTGGCGCTGGTGCATTGTGCCTCGTAGATGTCACTTCAGTTAGACTGCTTGCTGGCGTGGATGTTACTGCTGGAGTAGCAGTTCTGGTTGTGGATACAATTTGAGCAGTGTGACGATGAGCATTCGGTGAAGAGTTTCTTCGAGTGGAGGGAGGTGGTGCAATTTTAATGGGAAAAGTCTCTGATTGTTGCTGTGTACTCACAACGTTATCTCCTCCACTACTTTTACTGAGGCTTAACCCACCACTTGTTCCACTGCTCGTTAATACTACTCGACTCTGTTCAGGTCTAGTAAATTTGGTAAAGAAAAAGAAACAATCTAGGTGAAGGATCAGGAATTTTTTTTTTAAGTTCTGACTACTGCTGATGGAATGTTACCATGGGAGCAATTCAAATTGTTTTTGACAGACAAGAAACAATACTAGCGTGCAACTCATAGAAAATATACTAACATCATGAGCTCATTTCGACAGATCAAACTTTTGGGCTCATGCGACTAAGCAATAAGTAAAAAAAACAAGCAGCCTATCGGCTGAGATAACTCCGCTGTTAGCAATGCACATTTCAATTAAAGAACTGAAGACATCATTAGAAAATGAACAATATGAATAGTATCAAAGCAATCGGACTTTACAGTTTTTAACAAGAAGTCGAAAATATCACTTTTTACCAAAAATTACAAAATTATTCACCAAAATAAATTAGAGAATTGAAGATATCATCACAAAATGAACAAATCTGAGAGAGTTCCACATGTAGTACCTATATATGTAATATCAAAGCAATCGGACTTACAGTTTTCAACAAGAAGTCGAAAATATCACTTTTTACCAAAAATGGCAAAAATATTCACCAAAATTAGAGAACTGAAGATATCATCACAAAATGAACAAATCTGAGAAAGGTCTACATGTAGTATCTATATATGTAATATCAAAGCAATTGAACTATTGATTTTTAACAAGAAGTCGAAAATATCACTTTTTACCAAAAATTACAAAAATATTCACCAAAATTAGAGAATTGAAGATATCATCACAAAATGA